AACAATAAAATAACTAATACTAAATAATAATAATATAATAATAATAATATAATAATAATAATAATAACTACTAATAAGATAATAATAAATCATTCTATAACAACAGTATTCCAGCCAGGACAAAGAAACTGTTTTGACAATTCTAGATGCCCGGATGTCGATTAGCAATACCTAATATTCGTCTCTCATAAAAACGCTCCATATTTGTTACAATAAACTGAAAGATTTGAACAGCATTATAAGCTTGGGTTCTAACAAAAATAATATCTTTAATAAGCCCAAAGCTGCATTCTACATAATTATTTGTATGATTTCCACGTAACATTAAGTTTTCCCGAAATGATAATGCCCAGGAGGCCCATCGTTCCCAAAGAAGTATAAAATGTACCGCAAGTTGATTATATTTAGTAAAGTATTGTTTCTTAAATTTTAAATACTCTGCTTCCATTTTAGGGATAGTAGATGCATATAAAATAGCTTTTAAGGAATGCATAATCGAAATCCGATCATTCTTTTGAATTTGATGTTTAGAATCATATAATCACCTCCACAGTGCCTGTAAAACATGAAAAACACACAACAATCGAGTACATTCTGGCCAACAAATTTCTAGAACATTCCGTTCAGCATAACAATCGTCGGTTATAATTACACTAGGGCCAATTTGAGGACCCCGGCCATAGAATGCATTGCCTGGTAATATTGTTTTAAGTAGATTAAGGGCATTTTCTATTGTAACTTCAGCTTCATCTGAAGTTAAAAATATTCCTAATGGTAAAGCGCCAATAGAGCAACTCGTATAAAGAAGAAACATAGATGTATTAAGAGGATCGAATGCAGCAGATGCGTCTAAGTAACAAAGTTCACCAGCCTGGCGAATCTTTTCATGTACCCTTCTCATCAAACCCGTTACAATGCAAAGAATAAAGGGAGTATTTTTTGTTGAATTATAAATTTGGAGAATTGCTTTACCATTATTTGTATTATTATATTCAGTAACCATTTCTTGTAGTCGCTCAAACATTCCTTTTCCATTTCTATCACCAAGTTGTGCAAGATGGAATTGATTATAAAGGTGTCACAAAAAACCACCATCTGGATTCTTCGCCCGATCAGCTAGTAGACATACAAGCTCATCATTATTTGTTGCAGATAAGTGTAATTTATCTTCATAAATATGTCTTGCTGTAGCTACCGTGTGACCTATACTAAATAAATCTATGTAACTCTTTTGAGTTTCTATACTAACTGGTCGGAAGCTAAGTGATGCGGCTGAACTTGGTAAATGATTATGCGTATAACGAAGATTAATTTCAAGTAGATGTGAATTTCCAATATTAGATTTTTCTAATTTAAAAGCAAGTGTTGCCTTACAATTTGTATCTCTATTTCATTGGCTATCAGGATTTTTGATCTCACGATTTTTATTTTTTTGTTTGACTGCATGACTATGAATACAGTGTCTATTTTCCCAAAAAATAACTTTATTTCCTTTGACATTGAAGGTTTTGGTTAATTGCATGGTGGTCTTTGATATTTCCTGAAATTCGCTTAACCAATTTAAGGCACCTTCTTGGTTGTTAAGATCCACGAATAAATTTACATTGAGCTGTCCAATATTTACTTTTTCAGATGTAACAATTGGTTCTAATTCAGTATAACCTTTTATTTTATAAGTATGATTTGATGGAAGAATATTTTGAAGTGGAGTAGGTAAATCAGCAAAGTTGAATGAATTAGCAAAGTTGAGTGAATCGGTTTGCATTTTTATATATTTATTTTATTTTATATGAAACGAATGTGAAACGAAATGTGAAGCGAAATATGAAGTGAAAGTATGAAGTGAAATGTAAAGAAAAATATAAAGCGAAATATGAAGTGAATTAATAAAGAAAAGAATTAACTTTTAAATAACGATAATTACTATTAGTATTGTACTGTAGTATAAACGATAGTTTATTTAATTAATCGATGATATCATTAATGATCGTTTGGATCGTTTGGCTCGATTTCCGGACTCATCCGGAGCACAACCTGGTACACATTTTCGATTTGCCGTTTAATCGTATAAAGTTCTTCAGTTGCACCAATATTTAAATTTTGGGTTATATATGTCGTTGGAATTTTTAATTACAGTTAAACATTTATTATATTTATTTTGATCCATTAAACAGCGATTGTTTTTCCTTTGATGAATAAAAGCTTTTAATATTCGATCAAAGGTTTCACACATCAAAAGGTCGTAACTTTCTATATTAAGAATTAATAAAAAAAAAAGTTGTATTTATGGATAAAGTTAAGCATTCGAAAAGTTTTATTTGTTTATTAATTTTTGTTTTTTTTTGCGTTAATTTGATATACGCAATAATTCTGGGTTCTAAATTTCTATTAAATTTTGGGATCAAATGATACCCAAGTGAAGTGACAAATAAACACTGACTAAATTTATTTATATAAATAAATTAGTTGGTGCTTATTTGTCACATAGATGTTTGGTCACACCCGATCCTTAAATTACGCGGTGTTGCACCGCCGTGGGTGTGACAAATAATTGCATGATAAATAAGCACTAAAGTAGTTGATACATATTTGTCACTCTATAATTAGTCACACCCTTATGCTTAAATTTCGTAGTGTTTCATTAAAAATTGACCTGGATCATTTCTGAATCGATGAAAATTTATGAATGACCTAGGTCAATTCGGAATCGACCTAAATTGTGAAATGACTCAGAACATCAACACTTTATGCACGTGACCAATTAAAGACATATATAGTTTCATCAAAGTGTTAACATTCGCTGTGCAAGAGAATCAAAAAAAAAATAAAAAATTTCAAAGATCCCGAAAAACTTTGCTATTTATGAAATTAATTAGTTTATAAGTTTCTAATTTCTTTTTGTATTATGCTCACGAGTCTATGAAAACTTGCCTAAATAACTATCTTTTAATTTTTACCTAAATAATGTACGTACGTGCACAACGCAACTATTTGCGTAATATCCTTGGTTTCTGTTAAAAGTGAAAAGCAAATAACAAATTTATTCGAGAAAATGCACAAAAATATAAAATGACTTAAAACATGCAACGCGAATTAGATAAAAATTTTTAAAAGTTAAATTTACTCTCAAATTTATTAGGTATCTATTATTTAATGATATATTACATGATATTCAAGGTCTTTCAGCCAAATCACCATCTTCAACAAATGAAGATCATTCACTTTCTTTACCAAATGGTTCAAAATACAGTATTTTGCTCGATAATCTCTTTCTTCGATTTCTGGGCTTGTAGCACAATATAGAGTAATAATAGCTCTATTATCTGGAAAATCTGGCAAAAATTGACCGACCGAATATAAACCTATCAAATCGGCAAATATTCGGTCGGTCAAATTTTGCCAGAATTTATGAAAACAGCTGTAATGTAAATCGGTCCTACAGGGGTCGAGACTAAAAAAATCGCTTTTTATATTTTTGTTTTTTAACTTGGTTTAATAAAATGTTTCAAAAGATTGTTAATTAGGGCGTTGATGGATAAAGCTGAAACTACTGCACATAATTGGATAATTTTAACTTCAATGTGTTACAAAAGTCAAAAATCAGAAGATTCGAATTTATAATCATGATTATAACCATATCATTATTATTAGTGCAAAAAAACTATTTTAAAGTCATATAAAACTGGTTTAAACCATTTTGTTTCAAATCATTTGTTATCCCTAATCGAGACCGACCGTTCTACACAATTAAGCAGTAATAATGTAAAATTTTTCTGTTCGTACGTCCAGATAAAATATAAATGTGAGATTTATGTGAAGTTGACACGATAATTCAAGTTTGTAATGCAAGTTTATTTACGTAACTGTAAATTTTTGGATATAAAAGGCAATTTAAGTGAAGTGGCAATTCTGGGCATCTAATTGGATAAAAATGCCTTGTGACTTTTGTAACACCCTGAACAATTCCCATATTTGTATATTTGTGCATCGTATACGTAGTGCAACGAAATGCTTACAAAACAGGTTTTGCAAGATATGTACAGTAGATCTTCTGCACATATGAGGCTTTTCTACCTACGTGTAGCAAGCTATATCTTGATTGTACGAGCATACGTATTACAGTACAGCAGTACGAATGCTGATTTATTATACATCGATATATATATTAGGCCATACAAAATTAATTAATTGGTTTTCATAACCCGGCCGGGTCAAATTTTAAAAGCTTGTAAAAAAATTTTTTTATATGTCTTAATAACAGGATGTGTTTTAAAAAATTTTTTTACAAATATTTTATAAAATTTATACATATAATTTTTTTAAAAAAAGATAGCCGGTCGGGTCTGATCAAAAGTTTAATGTTATAAAAACCAAGGTATTAAATTTGTGTGCCTTATTATAGGTATGTAACGGTAATATAATTCTCACACATTCAAGTGTTTATTTCAAATTGTAATCATTTTTGTAATCGTAATTTAGAGTATTGCAATCTGAGTTCTTGAAATGCATGACCATAATTTAAATCAAGTTAGCAATATCAATATTGATAAAATATTACGTAAAGTTTGAATAAATTCTCGAATATATCGTAACTATGCTTGAATTTATAACGTTACCATTTCAAAGCATTGACCATTCATATTTATAAAAAGGTACATTTGCACAAATGGCTATCTATATAATAAAAAAGTAATATAATGAACGAACGGGGATAACAGGTAACACACAAATTTCTCTAAGAAGGCGTGCTAAGTAACCTATGAGAAATGAAGTGATATTTTAAATCTGCAATGCAATTACGTAACCGTTGTGCATATATTTGCAGTATGAATGTGTGCCAGGTTTGCAGCATAAACAAAATTCTTGCACGTCTTGGTGTGCCGGGCTTATGCCGTATATTTTCTAAATGCGAATCAGGTTTCAAGATCAAGTGAGCTTAACACGATCTACAGCAGAGACCGTTAATGTTACACATATATTACAACTAGTGAGGGATTATATCCATCACAATTGAATCCAACATAAATAATTTAATATATGATTGATTAAAGGCGAGAGGGATTCACTTTGGATCGTGCACTGTCTTTGCTGTAAACATGATCAAGAAAATTCGAAACAAACTTATTTCTCAAAAATCAGCAGAATTAACTATCTTTAGTGCCCTAAAAAAGGCTTTTGTTGGCAATTTTGCTGTATAAACTACTCCTTCTAATTCCTAAACTTGACCCTAACCCTGACATAAACAAGCTTTAAAGAATTTTTGCAAAATTCTTTAAAACTCATTGCTATAAAGACTGACATTCGTATTTAAGTTAGAATTAAAAAGATAGTAAATCATTTGGAAAATTTTTTTATTAGGTAAATTTTTGACAATACAAAACGAACGTTTGCTTTGAATATCTCTGTTCGTGCATGTTATATATGATCCTAAAAATCTATTTGTCCTTCGAGGATCTGCGCCACCATACATCATTGATGTAGGATTTACTTATTTGTGCCGGTAATACAATCCAAAAAAGGAAATTTGATTTTATAAATAAACAAGTGCGTAAAACACGTATTTGGGGTTGGAACTTTAACATTAGAGGCTATAGTGATAGAGTATCGTTCATTATATGTAAAATTTCGTTTTCGCCATTTTTAATTAGTACACCAAGGCTGGTTTAAACACTAGTTTTTGAGTTTTTTTTGCTTTTTCTTCTTTTACACGCATTCGGAATTCATGTCGGGCTGATCCGGAACGATCAAATTTGAATTCACTGATTGGCTGTTTTCTTTTTAGGAGTTTGTATTACCGGCACAAATAAGTAAAGCCCATTGATGTATGGTATAGGAATGTTACGGTCCAGTCTTGGTCCTAAAGACCGGTCCTAGCAAAGGACCGTGAACTGGACCTTAGTCCAGGACCGGTCTATAAACCGATCCATAGCACTGTCTATTGACTGGTTTTCAAAGTAGGCTATGTGGTTTTTAATATCACTACGTATAAAAAGGACAAATTAATCTATGTTAGCATTGTCAGGTATGAAACTTTTAAAACTCGTTACAAATTTTATACCGATATCGGTTGTAACATCATTGTTTAGCATAAAATTTGTCATTTTCATTTTTATATTTAAAAATTCTAAAATTCGGTATCGCTCATTTCAGATTTTTGACTTACAGCTATCATCGTGACTCCTGAGTAAGGATGCTAAAATTATCTTGCCAAAAAAGATTGAACAGGTCTTGGATCATAACGATAATACATGAGTAAGTCATGTGCATATAAGCATTCACAGATCACAATTTAGATCATCGGAAAAATTACCAATGACCGAATCGACAAGTTACTGAGACAAAATCAATAAATTAGAAACTTATAGATTCGGTCATCGGAAATTTTTTTCTTTTCTTTTAGTCAATGAGATCATTCTATAAACTATGGACCGATCCGGACCACGGTCTTTGCAGGACCGTAACATCCCTATACATTACATGCCTAATAGTGCACAACCTATATATTTACTAAATGTAATACCGATACTCACGCGACAGTGTCGCGCAGCTATCTTATTTATATGTGTTATGTGATGTTGCTTTATAGTAATCAATTTAATTAAAGACTACCTGGCTTTAAGCACTTCTATAAAAGGAAATAAAGTTGTCACACTTATGTGATGCATTCATTGTTAGACAAACTAACCTTTTAAGCATCATTATCAATATTTGTATGTGCGTGCATAGTGTTTACATTATCATCTCTAATTTCTATTGTGCATATCATTCTTGTATACACAATATCCGAAATTGTATTAGCCATGAAAGCGACTATTGGCTAAATTATGTAATTTAGGTAATTCTCCAAATTCTCCAGATCCAAGCTCTAGTTATCATCAGAAAAAACGGATTAAATATATTCCAAGGAACACGAACCTACTTCATATATCAATTGACTAATAAGTAATTTTATTAATAGTGTACCTCATGAGTTAATAAGTTTCCTTATACTATATTTTAATTCGAGAAAACTTATAAATATGCCTTCTTTACACTCGATTGATTTCTCAAAAAAAAATGACTTCAAATTCAAGGATTTTACCACTTGAACCAATTGATCTCTCTAACAAGCATTTTACTTTTGATGACATTCCTGATTTGACTGGAAAAGTAATTATTATCCAATTAATTAAAATATATAACATATCGACCTATTTAAATTTTTTAATTAACTAGGTTGCAGTCGTTACGGGAGGAAACGCTGGGATAGGATATATTACGTGCAGAGAATTGGCCAGACAAAACGCACATGTGTTTATATTAGGTCGTAGTATCGAGAGAGGTCAGGCAGCTGTTGAAAAAATCAAATCTGAGACTGGTAATCAAAATGTTGAATTTTTGCAGTTGGATTTAAACAGTTTAAAATCTGTCAAAGAATGCGCTGAAAATTTTTTGGTTAGAGACTTACCATTGCACATTTTGTAAGTTATATTATTATGATTATAATACAGAGTGTAAACATTACAAATTTAGACTAATTGATTGATTAATTTTATCAGAATTAACAACGCGGGAATCACTAAAAAGCAAGTAATAATGTCAAACAAATATTATTTCTTTCCACTTGTAGCTTCACATACATAGTTTCACTTGTGTTTTACTTGTAACTACAATAATATTCTAACAACCAATGAACACTATAATATAATATAATAGTACATTTGCGCTTACCGAGGATGGGATTCAAGAAGAATCTGGAGTAAATCATGACGGCCATTTTGTAAGTAAAAAAGATAATCAAATAAATAAATTATTAACATTAAATAAAAAAAAATTCATAATAACAAAACTTTTTTGCACTGTTAGCTTTTCACCAAATTATTATTGCCAAAAATTAAAGCTTCACAACCAGCACGTATAGTAAATGTTAGTAGTAGTGCTTATAAAAGAGTTACTGGAATTGATTTCGAGAAATTAAATGATCCCAATGCACTGGATGAACTGATTCGTTATTCTCAATCAAAAGTTGTAAATATGTTATTTACTAATGAATTGAATAAACGATATCTTGAAGGCGAGCAAATATATATTAACTCTCTTCATCCAGGTAATAATAAAATAATTTTCAAATTTAATTAAAACCACTATATTAATTAACAAATTAATTGATCAATTAATAATAATAATGTTGTTGTTATTTATTTAGGAGTCGTAGATACAAGCATGCTAAAAAGGGACGACCTATCTGTGCCAGAAAGTTTCTTTCCTTCAGCTGAGGATGGTGCTCTTAGTATAGTGCTGCACGTTCAGAAATCGATGAGAAAAAATATTGTGCAAAATATTTTGAACCATTTGGTAAAGTAGGTGAACAAACTTCATATGCACAAGATGATGATTTGGTTAAAAGTCTTTGGGAATTTACGGAGAATTTGATAAATGAAAAATTATCCCAAAATTGATTTATTCATTTATTATATCAAATATTCGGGTCTAGTTAGTAAAATAAATACACTTTTTTTTTTTTTATAAATATAATAGCTAAACGAATATCATGTAATCTATCATTAAACGGTTGATATCCAATAAATTTAATTTGCGTTGTGCGATTTTGCGTCTTGGATAAGTTTATGTTATTTGTTTTTTATTTGTAAAGTTAGTTGCATTGTATATGTACAATCCCCTGACGAAAGTCACCGACTTATAGATCATTTTTATAATAAAAACATAGTGATTATTGAAATTTTTACGCTATAAGAAAGGTTAAAATTTTTATTATCGAATAAAATTTTAATTTATATTATTACAACTAGAGATGGGCACGCGCGGGATCCGCGCGTAATCCCGCGCTGGATTTTTAATATGATCCCGAAATAAGATTATTTGGCCGGCATTACCATAATATCTGGCTAGCATTAATATAATATC